AAAAAAAAAAAAAAAGAGGAAGGGGGGGGGGGGGGGGGGGGGGGGGGGGGGGGAATTCCATGAACAAGCAGTATTTTCGTTTGAATGTTTTGTTTTTATTTCATAAGGGCTTCTTTCATGGAAAACTTCGGTTTTTTTAGAAGATTTCAAATGAACACCATGACCAACCTGTAGATGGAGAAGGAAGCCACTGATCGAATGAGGGACGCCAAAGCGCCTGCCTTGGCGGCTTCGAATGCCCCTAGGATGCGGTATTGCACCGTCCTCGAGTAGTTGACATAAGGTTGGTTATAAACAACAATCTTCCCTCTTGCTTCTGGGGCCCTTCTCTGCAGTTCATCAAAAGAGGTCACCACCAGAGCTTCTGCTGTAATGCCTGGAAATAAAATCAGACAAGATTAACCTATGGTTTCCTATCAGCCAGGTTGAATTTGCACACAAAAGGTCACACATGTTCTACCTGCTACATCTGGCAAACTGGTTTGAGAAGATCAAAGTTTTAAAGCCATTTACTGTGGGAGAAAGACTTTGGGACTAGCCAGTTTCCCGAGAGAGAGAGAAAAGGCGTTCAAAATAATATAACATACAACTCATAAGGTTTTTCAACTCTCTTGACCAGCTGGTATTAAATCACAAATTACTTGAAAAAATAGCTTCTTTTCTCTCTTCTTTCCTACCCTAAGAAGTCATGAATTTCACAGAAAGACACTAATTAGTTTTTAAAAATGCATTTCAGAAAGCTCCTCTTGGGATTAATGAAACACATATTTATCTTTTCATAAAACTATTTTGATAGGTTGCTAAACAACCTTTAATAACATCATACAAAGGATGGCAGTTTGTGAAGAATACTTAGAAGCCAACGTTCATAAACTCAACTTTTAACAAATGGTTAATGTAACCTCTCCCAAGAACCACAAAAAGTCGGCTTGTTTTCTTTCCTCCTTTGTATAAAAACTCTTAAAGTATGTGAAAACTTCCCATGCTTCTCAAGTTACAGTACTTGTTCATTCCTAAACACATCACTATTCTTCAAATAAAAAATCTGAAGACATTGTGTAATTGTCCTATGGTTCTATTGTCTTGGTTAGAAGAGATGTGCCTTCTTTTACCACACCACAAGACTTGACCAAATCTTCTTGATTAGGGAACAGAGTTTCATATCTTCCAAGAAGTTATTCAAAAACTGCCAGACCACCAAAGATCCAATTTGGTGGAGTAGTTAGAGTGACTAGGAAAAACTAACAACAAAGACCATATGCAGTGGCTAAATATAACTATCTAAAGAAAGAGGTAGGCAACTACTGTTTTGTCGCTTTAACAATGCAGTCATGAAATATGTCAGTAAAAACTAAAATATCAACATATATTTGAAATACTTCCTTAATATTGCAAACTACAGACCTAACTTTTTATGAAGGCTTAACAGATGTCATTAAAATGTTAACTGTTACTTGGAAAATCCTTTTAAAATGTACTACAGGTACAAGAGAATTCTTGCTTTCAATATAGGCCCAATCATAATGGACCCTTTAGGCTGGCTCTTCTCCTACCTCTGGTTCCACCATCCAGACTGAATTTGTACTTTTACTTTAAAATGTTCGGCTACAGATCTATAAGCATTTCTCCACCAATACTCAGGACTCCAAACTTTATAATTTTTAAACAATAATGTACAATTATGGAAAGTAAAAAAAAATAACCAAAAAAACCACTATCTTTGTTCATATGATAAATATGTACAAAAATACAAATAAGGGTTCGGCTAGACAGATTTTGAGATTCATAGCTTTCTGAAACCTGAAGCTACCTTGAAATTTGACTGACATTCCTGTTGGCATAGTATGGGAATTTTGCTGATGGTTTTCATCTGTTCCTAATGAATACCACAGGTTCAATGGTCCACCCAAGGGATGTCCCAGCAATGGGGTAATTTTGGCGTCTGGACTGGAGCCACTAGAAATGAAGCCAAATCTCTATAAATTTTCATAGGCCACTGCAAAATTGAAGTCATACCAGGGTGGCATTTCACTATGGTCTATGTTCAATTCAAGTTCTTTTAACAGATGAGAAAGTGGAGTCCTGAAGACACCATAGCTGCCAATGTAAATCATCAGTAGCAGCTACAGGTCAATACTTATCACCATGAACTTGGAAGAAGAGTTCCAATTAATGAGTTTTCCTGAAAACTTAGGGTATCTCTGATTCCTCTCTCTCCTTTATCTATCACATCTAATCAATCCTCAAATACTGATAATTTTACCCGTTAAAAATCAATGTTGAGTGAACCCATATCCTTTGTTCCACCCCATTACACCCTGTCACATCAGGCCCTCATTATCTCTCTTTTGGACTATAACAAGTCCCTCTTCCCCAACCCTCCCACCACCAGTGGTGCCCAAGCCTCCAGCCCAGCTCCCTCAAATTTAACCCTCACACAGCTGACAGAGTAAAATACTTGAACTACCGAAAATTCAGATCTGCCTACAGCACCATCCATCTGTCCCTTTCCCACCTTTGCTAAAAAACCATCGTTTCAACAATACCATTCGAAACCTGTCCACCTCTACAGATTGTGGCTCCCTTTTATTTTAAACTTCATCAAAGCTAAACTCAAAAGTTCCCACTCTCATACCATGCTATTTCACTCCTCAGTGTCTTTGTTCACACCGTGGTGCACTATGTCTTTTTGACCCCATTCTCCCAGCTTCTTCCTGTGACCAAACACCTATTTATCCCTCCAGGATTCCATTCAAGAATCAGTTCCTTAGGGAGCATTCCCTGGCTTCCTGCCTCCTGTCCTGTTCCCCTATGACCCCTGAGAAGACTGGGTCATATACCACCCTCCTACAGGCTTTCAGAGCATCTTGGGCACACGTGGGTACTAGACAAGTGAAGCAACGACTATTTACAACGCTCTCTACTACCTAAACTGTGATCTTCTAAGAGTTTGGGGCCATGTTCATTTTTGTTTGTATCTCCAGGAACTAAGACAGTGCTTGGCACATGTGTAGGCAGTCAGTCATTAAACACTCCTTGAATGGCACTGCTCCAAATAAGGGACCACTGACTGAGTCTAAAGCATTTCCATAAATGTGCAATTTTACCCTTCAAGTTTGATAGCCCTTCTCTCATAGTAACTCGGCAGGCTGATTCTCTTACCAACCAGAGTACAGCTGCAAAACAATAACCAACCTAGAAAGGCCTTGGGGCAGTTGGAATATAAATATAAATTCCAAGTATGAAAACTCAGGTACTTGAATATAATAAAAGCTCTTTCGATCCTTCTTAGAGCCTAGTTATCCTTACTTTACACAAAATTCTACATCTGCTCTTTTTACGTATAAACTATGAGAAACAACAAATCCAAAGGTGGAAATAGGCCTGAAAACTGACAACAGCACTATAAAAAACAGTGTCAGAGACAGAAACATAAAATAACAAATACTAATAGAACTTTCTGCAATGATGAAAATGTTCTGTATCAGTGCTGTCTAACACAGTAACCTTTAGTCACATATGGCTATTGAGCATTTGAAATTTGAGTAATGTGACTAAGAAACTGAATTTTTAACGTCATTTAATTTTAATTAATTTATATTTACATTTAAATGGACACATGTGGGGAGAACTCTCAATCACTACAGGCTCAGGCCATGGCATAGGGCAAATACCTGAAAGCATCTCTGAGAGCCCCGAGGGAATTGCTTCATGACAGTCCTATAACAGATGTGACAGTCATGCTGACAACTTCCTCCAGTGGTCACAGACCAGGTAGACTGTATTGAGTAGCCATCATTTGGGAAGGCAAGGTGTGTACAAAGCATCTTAGGAAGGTTTTTGCTCAAACTGAATTGAGCAAATTGAAAGTAAAACTAGGCCATTTTAGTTTGTGTTTTGACACGTTTTGACCAAAGGAAATACTCATGATCTACAAATCAGCAAGCTCTGACTCTTTTCTCTACTCTCATCTCCCTTCTTCTCATCCTCCCATTCCAAAACATATTTCAAGAAAACCTCTAAGAACACACGACCAGTGTCATAATCACAATACGTCCTACCCTGACATCCCTATTTATAATTTCAATCTCCTCCCAACCTCCTATCCTCCTTATCTTGTTTTATTTTTCCACAGCACTTATCAGCTCCCAGTTGTACCCACTACAATAATAGAAGCTCCATTGGGGGTAGAAATTTTTGTGTTTTATTCATTAATGTTACCCAAATACCTGAAATTGTGCCTGACACATAATATGTGAAATACACACACACTGAATAAATGAAAAGAAACAAGCAAACAAAAAAAAGTATAATACCCCATCCCTGAGCACCCTCCAAAAATGTATATTTCCGAGGAACTTGAATATTTCTGTAGGTAATAATAATTGCTATATTTGAATGTCTATTGTTAATACTAATATTCACAGCAACTCTACAAAGTAGTTATTATAAGGATACTGAGGTGCAGAGAAAAAGTTTACACAACTACTAGATGCTGAAGCTGAAATTTGAACTTTGGATATCTGAATCTAGGAGTCATGCTCTTCCTATCAACTGCATTGCTATCTTCTCTCACAAACATATACATATATATACATATTTGATACATAAAATATATCAAAAGAAAAGATCGGCATTTCCATTTTAAGAAGAATAAGAAGGAAAAACAAATAGGTATTTTAAAGTGTGCCTAAGTTTTCAGTTAACAGTTATTTTCCTTAGTCTATCCGGGATCTTGCTTCTAAATCAGGACACTGTTATCACACTAGGTCCCAATTTATTAGTAGGTGTGTGGGAGGGGTGCTTCACTTGAGGACAAGAGTCATAACACTCTATTAGAGTAATGAAAAGGATTACAGTAGTTAATTTCTGAAGAGAATATGGGACTGAAGCTAAAAATACTCATAAAGTGACTTTCTTGGCTACAGCCTATTATACCACAAAAATAGTATAAAAATCCTCAGATTCCTTTTTATCTACACCTCATTTTCAAAACTGATCAATTTATTTTTTAAGCCTCTTTCCCTGTATGTAATTACTGCTGCAGTCTCCTTGCAGAGACAACAGATACTGACTGCTGCGGTATTGGTTCAGATTAACTATTCTATGGAGAATTTGATAAAGAGACTCCAATCTCAGTCTCTTCTGACTTGACTCCTCCCAAGAACAATTAAGAATAAGAAGATAGTAAAGTGGGACTTTCCTAATGTTTTCTGCCATCAAAAGGAAAAGACTACTGACAGAAAAATGTGTCTCTGGGCTCAATTCAATGTGGTATATTTAGAAAATTGATTCTGATTTCAGGAGATTTAACTTCTGAACAGGAAAATAGTCCAGCCCTAACCAATAGGAAGTCGAGGTTTTTACTCTATGTAA